ATTTCATGCAGAGAGCAGGCAATGTTTTTCTCTCTTTTCCAACTGTCCCTACTTTAATATATAATACTAAATTCCTTGCTAAAACTTGCACCTTGTGGGCAAAGAAAGCCCTGGTGAGAGTTCTCATTAAGATAATTTCTTGATGGGCTGGGAAGGTAGCTCAGTGGTAGAGCGCTTGCCTTGCATGCCTGAGGCCCTGGGTTCAATTCCCCAGCACCACATAAGCAAAAAGAAAAAAAAAGCCGGAAGTGGCGCTGTGGCTCAAGTGGTAGAACGCTAGCCTTGAGCTGAAGAGCTGAGGGATAGCGCCCAGGCCTAGAGTTCAGGCCCCACGACTGGACAAAAAAAAAAAAAAAAGATAATTTCTTGAGAAAGTAAAGCTGTGGTTCAAAGTGATAAAGCACTAGCCTTTAGCAAAAAGAGCTCAGGGACATTGCTCAGGTCCTGAGTTCAAGCCCCACAACTGACAAAAATAATAATCATTATATCATTAATAATATAATTAAATGCTATATTATGTACAGCTATATTAATATATGATAATTAAATAATACTATGCCACTTTCCCAGCCCTGATAAATATTATTTTATATGATCAGAGGCCCAGAGGCATTGTGCCTTTGTGTTCTAAAAATTAACTTTAATGAATCAGTCACAACTTAACAACAAAGGTAAGACTAAGAGTTCTTCAATTTTTTTTTTTTTTTTGGTCCGGTAGTGGGGCCTGAACTCTGGGCCTGGGTGCTATCCCTCAGCTCTTCAGCTCAAGGCTAGCGCTCTACCACTTGAGCCACAGCGCCACTTCCGGTATTTTTCTTTTTGCTTATGTGGTGCTGAGGAATGGAACCCAGGGCCTCAGGCATGCAAGGCAAGCGCTCTACCACTGAGTCACCTTCCCAGCCCAAGACTAAGAGTTCTTATCTTGCTAAGTGAGTGCCAATCTAGAAACTGCTATCATTTTACACATACGTGTAACAAAAATATTAGTTATAGTTAAAAATTATTAAAAGTGGCACTATATCTTATAGTTACATAATAAAGTATACAATACCTAAATATATAAATATATTTAACAGGCTATTTCCCCAGAATATTAAATTTAAAAATCACTAATATGCTAACATAGAAAAATCAAAAGATATGTAGTAATTTTCACAATGTTAGATGCTGATTATAAATTTGGGTATTGGCATTTGGATGAGAAAACTTGTACAGGTGTTTTATCTTTGAGGATTTAAAGCTGCATTGATGGAGATGTACATATTATATCTTACTTTTGAAATTGAATAAAAACCTCTTCTAATCAATGACTTGGCTGTGCTATAACCTATATATAAAATTCCCTGGCTGGACACCAGTGGCTCTCACCTGTAATGCTAGCTACATAAGAGGCTGAGATCTGAGGATCATGGTTCAAGGGCAGGAAAGTCCGTGAGACTCTTATCTACAATAAACCACTCAGAAAAAAACTTGAGCTGTGGCTCAAGTGGTAGAGTGTTCACCTTGAGCTGAAGAGCTCAGGGACAGCACCCAGGCCCAGAGTTCAAGCTCCACAACCAACAAAAAAAGAAAATTCTCTGAAGAATAAAATCATAGTTAGATTCTTTCAAAAGACGTATAATCATTGGAACAAAGAGAAACTTCTTATATGGATTCACTGCAAAATAGGAATTCCATGGAAGATATACAAAAGAACTTACATTTTAATTATTTTCTTCCTTTTCTACCCAAAGGCTAGTCCTAGACAGCTGAAACACTGAATTGCCATTTTATTACCAACATGAAAAGAAATGTTATTTACTTACAAAGTCATATCTGTTTTTAGTTTTGCAATAAAAAGCTAACACCCAAGTATTAAATTTTACAAAACCAGATCACTGTTTCAATTACAGTCAGCCTTGTCTTTTGCAATATTTTCTCCTTTTATGTGACTAGTCCTCTTTACTACTGACAATGTCCTTTGCTTAACAGAGGTGTTTTAGACAAGTTTAGCATATCAATTATTTCTTTCATGAATCATACCATTTATGTTGTGTCATCACCATACACCATAACTGAGGTTTTCTCTTATGTGATTCTAGGAGTTATGTAGTTTTATGTGTTACATTTAAGCAAACAAAATTTTGTCCTTTTTTTTTTTTTTTTTTGCCAGTCCTGTGGCTTGAACTCAGGCTCTGGGCACTGTCTCTGAGCTTCTTTTGCTCAAGGCTAGCACTCTACCATTTGAGCCACACTGCACCACCTCCAGCTTTTCTGTTTATGTGGTACTGAGCAATTGAACTCAGGGCTTCATGCATGCTAGGCAAGCACTTTACCACTAAGCCACATTCCCAGACCCAAACATAAACTTTTAAATGACCCAGTTTGAGTTAATTTTTTTGTGAAGAGTATAGGCTCTATATCTTTTTTTTTTTTGGTCGGTCATGGGGCCTGAACTCTTGAGCCTGGGGGGTGACCCTTAGCTCTTCAGCTCAAGGTGAGCACTCTACCACTTGAGCTACAGTGCCACTTCCGGTTTTCTGATAGTTTATTGGAAATAGGAATCTCATGGTCTTGCCTGCCTGGGCTGGCTTTGAACCATAATCCTCAAGATCTTAGCCTCAGGGCTGGGAAGGTGGCTCAGTGGTAGAGTGCTTGCCTTGCATGCATGAGGCCCTGGGTTCAATCCCTCAGTACCACATAAGCAGAAAAAAGCTGGAAGTGGTGCTGAGGCTCAAGTGGTAGAGCACTAGCCTTGAGTTGAAGAGGCGAAGGACAGCACCTAAGCCCAGAGTTCAGACCCCACAACCGACCAAAACAACAAAAAAAAAGAAGTAAGATCTTAGCCTCCTCAATAGCTAGATTACAGGTGTGAGCCACTGGCACCTGGCACCCGGCCACTTTCAGCTTTATAATGGTTAATTGGAAGTAAGAGTCTCACGGGACTTTCCTGTCTGGGTTGTCTTCAAACCGTGATCCACACATCTCTGCTTCCTGAGAATCTAGGATAACAGATGTGAGCCAATGGCTTAGTTTTTTGTTTTTTTTTTAAACAAGTCAACAGCCAGATATTCTAGTAGCATTTGTTAAAAAGTTTTTGTGCTGCACAGCATTGTTTTTGCTGCTTTGTCAAAGATAAGCTATGAACTGGGCAACACTGGTGCACACCTTAATCCTACCTACTCAGAAGGCTGAGATCTGAGGATTACGGTTTGCAGCTACCTAATCCAGATAGGAAAATCCTAAAGACTCTTATCTCCAATTAATCAACAAAAAGCCAGAAGTGGTGCTGTGGCAGAGTTCTAGCCTGGAGTATTATTTTTTTTTTTGGGGGGGGGGGGGGGGAGGGTCCGGTCATGGGGCCTGGGCGCTATCCTTAAGCTCTTCAGCTCAAGGCTAGTGCTCTACCACTTGAGCCACAGCACCACTTCCAGCTTTTTTCTTTTTGCTTATGTGGTGCTGAGGACTTGAACCCAGGTCCTCAGGCATGCAAGGCAAGTGCTCTACCACTGAGCCAACTTCCTAGCCCCTCTAGCCTGGAGTTTAAAAGCTGAGAAACAGTATCCAGGTTCTGAGTTAAAGGCCCAGTGACATTTCTTGGGGTGGGGACCAGACCCAAAAAAAAAAAAAATTCTCTGGAGAGTAAAACCATAGTTGAATTCTTTCAAAGGAAATGTAACTAGAATAAAAGGAAATTAAATTACTTCAATTCTATTTTTTTTAATCTTAAGTTTTTGTTTTTGTTTTTTTAAACATTCATTCATTCATTGTCAGCTCTGGGGCTTGAACTCAGGATCTGCATGAGCTCTTTTTGCTCAAAGCTAGTGCGCTCTACCACTTAAGCCACAGCGCTACTTTCAGCTTTTTCTGTTTATGTGGTAATGAGGGGCTTCATGAAGTACCAGGGCTTCATGTGTGCTAGGCAAGCACTCTACCACTGAGCCATATTCCCAGCTCTTTATTTTTATAATAAAGTTTATTTTTTTAAAGCCATCTCAAAATATAGTCATTACTATTGTAACTGTCATTATCACATTCATCATACAATAAATAAGTGTTAAGTACAGAATGAATTTTTCTTTTTTTTTTGTCGGTCGTGGGGCTTGAACTCTGGGCCTGGGCACTGTCCCTCAGCTCTTCAGCTCAAGGCGAGCGCTCTACCACTTGAGCTACAGCGCCACTTCCGGTTTTCTGGTGGTTTATTGGAGATAGGAGTCTCACGGTCTCTCCTGCCCGGGCTGGCTTTGAACCGCGATCCTCAGATCTCAGCCTCCTGAGTAGCTAGGATTACAGGCGTGAGCCACCAGCGCCCGGCTAGAATGAATTTTTCTAACAAAAGTAGACTGTATAAATATAACTGAGGGGCTGGGAAGGTGGCTCAGTGGTAGAGCACTTGCCTTGCATGCATGAGGCCTTGGGTTCGATTCCTCAGCACTACATAAGCAAAAAGAAAAAAGCCGGAAGTGGCACTGTGGCTCAAGTGGTAGAGTGCTACCCTTGAGCTGAAGAGCTAAGGGATAGCGCCCAGGCCCAGAGTTCAGGTCCCATGACCAGACCCAAAAAAATAAAAAATATATATATATAACTGAATGAGGCTTAGTTAAAACAGCCAATTTTATGTAAGTTTTAATTTTGAAAATGCTAACCTCTATGGTTGAACCAAATTATTTAAATGGGTAGTGTACAATAATTCGTTTAGAAAGGAAGAAATTAGGGAAAATATTATTTCAGTGGAATATCATTAATCTGATAAATGATTGATAATTTTTTTTAAATCACTTACCCATTTTGGAAAGAGTTGTTTTGTGCTTCTGAATCATCACTATCACTGATGACAATAGTTTCCCCATCTACACTACTAACATGTCCATTAACAAAACCATTTTGATGTGATGGAGGCAGGACTTCCAAAATCCTGCACTGTAACCTGAAATGAAATAATTTAAAATTCAATAATTTAATATTTCACAACATTTCAGAACATTCTGATAATTTCAAATAACTGAATATTAATTATTTCAAATCAGATGGGTAATGTGTCCATGTTGTAACAAGGTCTGACCCAGGCACATCTTACCAACAGCCTGAAAACCAAATCATGTTTAAAAACCACAAAAGAACTGGGAAATAGCGAGGGAATGGGTGACATTGTCCAAGAAGAAATGTACTCTTTATCTGACTTACATAACTGTAACCCCTCTAGTAAATCACTTTTATAATAACAAAAAATAAAAGAAGAAACACAAAAGGGTCTTTTCTTTAGCAATTATGGCTGAAGCCAGGCGCTTGTGGCTCATGCCTGTAATCCTAACTCACGAGGCTGAGATCTGATGATTACAGTTCAAAGCCAGCCTGGGCATGAAAGTCCATGAAACTCTTTGCTCCAATAAACCACCAGAAAACTGGAAGTGGCATAGTGGTTCAAGTGGTAAGAGTGCTGCTAGCCTTGAGCTGAATAGCTGAGGGACAGCACCTAAGCCCAGGGTTCAAGCCCCATGACCGACAAAAATAAATGATGCCTTGATAGTTGGTATAACATTATTTCTGGGAGAATGTAGGTGTACACACACACACACACACACACACACACACACACACACACACACAAAAAGCAAGTATTAGCATAATTATCTCTCATTATACAGACCGGGCCTTTTTTTTTAACCAGTCGTGGGGCCTGAACTTTGTGCCTGGGCGCTGTCCCTCAGCTCTTCAGCTTAAGGCTAGCGCTCTACCACTTGAACCACAATGCCACTTCCCACTTTTTCTGCTTATGTGGTGCTGAGGAATCCAACCCAGGGCCTCATGTATGCAAGGCAAACACTCTATCACCAACCAACTTCCAAACCCAAAACATACAATCTTAAATTCTGAAATATTCTCCTGGTCATGTTTTTGCTTTTAATATAAATACTGGGATGTTTCCTGATCTGTGGGAAGTTTCTCATTTTATAACTTTATAACCTCTATTAAATTCTATTATTTAAAACTTTACAAAGCTGGGTATTAAACCCAGGACCTCACGCATGCTAGCGAACATTCTACGACAAAGCTATACCTTTAGTTCTTTCTTTATTGTATGCATGTGTGTGGTGCTAAGAATTGAACCTAAGGCCACATACATGTGACTCAGTGGTAGAGCGCTTGCCTTGCATACATGAGGCCCTGGGTTCGATTCCTCAGCACCACATAAGCAAAAAGAAAAAAGCCAGAAGTGGCGCTGTGGCTCAAGGGGTAGAGGACTCGCCTTGAGCTGAAGAGCTGAGGGACAGCGCCCAAGGCCCAGAGTTCAGGCCCCACAACCGGACCCTGGCCCCCCAAAAAAAGAATCTAGTCTGGCGCTGGTGGTAGCTCACGCCTGTAATCCTAGCTACTCAGGAGGCTGAGATCTGAGGATCTCGGTTCAAAGCCAGCCCGGGCAGGAGAGACCTTGAGACTCCTATCTCCAATAAACCACCAGAAAACCGGAAGTGGTGCTGTAGCTCAAGTGGTAGAGCGCTTGTCTTGAGCTGAAGAGCTGAGGGACAGCGCCCAGGCCCAGAGTTCAAGCCCCACGACAGACAAAAAAAAAAGAATCTATTCTTAGCATGCACGTATCCTATTCTGGCTGCTTTTACTCTTCACATTCTGTCTAGATTTTATAGGCTGTAATTTCAGAGTCACTAAAATACTCTTTCATTTCATTTCCACAGTACCAATTTTCAGTAATTGAAAAAAATGTCACTTACTTTTCTACCCTCCCTCTTGTTCCAACTTTTTTTGAATGGTACTTGCATATACCACCTGAGTCAAACCCCCAGGCCTGTTCCTGTTCTTGCCTTAAAATCAAAAGTCTACTCTGAATTCAAAGTTAGGATCGTATTATCACAGTTAAAGGAATTTTAGCTGGTTTCTCCTTCAAGTTCCAGTCCCAGCTCTTTAGTATTAGAAAATGAGAAAAGATGTTCTTCTCAAAAATAAAAGCCCAGCTTTCATAACTGCTCATATGCCTATGTCAGAAGATTCTCTTCAATCCCATATCCTCTCCTCTGATCTTGTTTCCCCTCCTGTGTATTTTCATTCTTCCCCTGTTAGAGACATAGTATTAAATTTCCTGGAAAGCTTATCTCTACTTCCAGCTTTCTAGGGACTCCTCAACACCCCAGGGAGACCTATCATTGCTGAAACCAAATTTGATTCCAAGAACAAAGCAATACAATTTTAATTAATACCCCCTCATATGGAAGTGCATGATTATCAAAGAACAGAGGAAAGAAAGTTGGCAAAAGTTAAGCTGCAACTGTATACATTTTGTATGTATTTTGTTTCTATTAAAGGCCATTTAACTGGATTAAAAAATTTATGCCACAGAAATGGAGGGAACAAAGGGTGAAAAATCCAACAGTGACACTCACTAGATACTGTGTTGAAAATGAACTATTCAACTTGTGGGTACGGAGGGAAAAACTGGAAGAAACTGAGGGAGTGACACTGTCCAAAAAGAAATGTACTCTTTACCTGACATGTAATTTTTTTTTTTTTTTGTCGGTCGTGGGGCTTGAACTCTGGGCCTGGGCGCTGTCCCTTAGCTCTTCAGCTCAAGGGGAGCGCTCTACCACTTGAGCTACAGCGCCACTTCCGGTTTTCTGGTGGTTTATTGGAGATAGGAGTCTCACGGTCTCTCCTGCCCGGGCTGGCTTTGAACCGCGATCCTCAGATCTCAGCCTCCTGAGTAGCTAGGATTACAGGCGAGAACCACCAGCGCCCGGCTTACCTGACATGTAATTGTAACCCTCTGTATATCCCCTTTATAATAACAAAAAATTTTAATTAATTGCTAATTCCTATCCATTTATAATCTGTTCTTCAGTGTTGCACCTTCTTTTACCCACAGCTTATTCACACATCTTCATAAGCTTTAATAAAATACTCATTTTTCAACTTCTAAAGAAAAAAAGTGAGCTAGGTGCCAGTGGCTCAAGCCTGTAATCCTAGCCACTCAGGAGGGCTAAGATGTGAGGATCACAATTGAAAATCAGACAGAGCAGGAATGTCTGTGAGACTCTTATCTCCAATTAATCATCAGAAAAGGGGAAGTGGTACTGTAGCTCAGGTAGTAGAACACTCACCTTGAGGTGAAGAGCTCAAGGACAGCACCCAGGCCCAGAGTTCGAGCCACATGACTGACCAAAAAAAAAGAAGAAAGAAAAAAGAAAAAGAAAAGAAAGGGGGGCTGGGAAGGTGGCTCGGTGGTAGAGCGCTTCCCTTGCATGCATGAGGCCCTGGGTTCGATTCCTCAGCACCACATAAACAGAAAAGACTGGAAGTGGTGCTGTGGCTCAAGTGGTAGAGCGCTAGCCTTGAGCTTAAGAGCTGAGGGACAGTGCCCAGGCCAAGTTCAGGCCCCACAACCGGACCCACAGGAAAAAAAAAAAAAAAGGAAGGAAAAAGGAAAAAAGAAAAAGAAAAAAAAAGTGGGACTCCATCTCAAAATGACTAGAGTAAAGCTGGGCCCTGGTGGCTCCACCTATAATCCTATCTAGTTAGGAGGCTGACTTCTGAGGATCACAGTTAAAGCCAGCCTGAGCAGCAAAGTCTGTGAGACTTTTATCTCCAATTAAACAGGAAAAAAAGGAAGGAAGGAAGGAGAGGGAGGGAGAGGGGGAGAGTAGGAGAGAGAGAGGGAGAGAGGGAGGGAGAGAGAGAGAGAGAGAGAGAGAGAGAGAGAGAGAGAGAGAGCGCGTGCACAAGCAGGAGCTGGGTGTTGGTGGCTCACGTCTATATTTCTAGCTACTCAGGAGATCTGAGGATCAAGGTTCAAAGCCAGCCAAGACAGGAAAGTCTTGAGACTCATCTCCAATTAACTAACTGAAAACCTTGGCTTAAGCAGTAGAGCACTATCCTTGAGCTGAAGAGCTCAGGGACAGTGCCCAGGGCCAGAGTTCAAGGCCCACGACTGACAAAAAAAAAAAGACCAATGTGGAGCTTTGGCTCAAGTGGTAGTCCTAGAGAATAGTAGAGAGCACAAAGGTCAGGGACAGCTTGCACACATCCACGCGCGCACATGAAAACACACACACACCAGAGCAAAAAGGACTGGAGGAATGGCACAAGCAGTGGAGCACATGTTTAACAAATGAAGTGTGAGGGTCTAAGTTCAAGTCCCAGTATTGCACCGTCCACCTCCCCCCAAAACAAGCACCTCTTCAGACATTCTTTCTCAATGAAGTTCTTTCTCCTGTCCATTTACTGTCAAGTGGTTCAAAAGTGTAGTTTATATGGCCTCTCTACTTTCCTATCGCTAAACCCTTAACAATTTTGGTCCTTTTACACAGGAACTAATCTAGTGACAAGTTTAATTATTTAATAGGTTAACAAATAGTTTTTTTTTGTGTGTGGGGTGTGTGTGTGTGTGTGTGTGTGTGTGTGTGTGTGCTGGTACTGGAAACTGAACTTAGGGCTTCACACTGTCACTTGTCTTTTTCTGCCCAAGGCTGGTGGGTATTACCTGGGCAATACCTTCACTTCCATCTTTTTGCTAGTTAGTTGGAGATTAAGGTAAGTCTCAAGGACTTTCTTCCTCAGAAAGGCTTCAACCCTAAATCCTCAGACCTCAGCCTCTTGGGTAGCTAGAATTACAGGCACAAGCCATCAGCATTTTAAAACATACTACACATAGATAAGCCCTGAAAACATTATATTCAGGGAAATAAGCCAAAAAGGATAACCACATGATTCTGCTTATATAAAGTATCTAGAACAGAAAAATTCATAAAAACAGAAAGTAGGAAAAAAAAAGTTACAAGTGGCTGGGGTAACGAGGTATTGTTGCCTAATAGATAGTTCCTGTTAGAATGATGAAGAATGATTTCCTGAAACAGTGGTGATGGTTACATAACACTGTGAATGCCACTGAATTGCACACCTAAAATATGACTAAAACAAAAAAAAATTAAAAATTTTTATTACAAAAAGGAAACTTTATTAGAACAGTAAGACTGGAAAAATGAACTCAATTACCAAGCATGTATTACCAAGCAAATAGAAGTGTTATCCAAAAAACTGCAGGACAACTTTCACCACTGGCTCATAGAAATAAACCAGTTTCTAAAGAAGAAAAACTATAGAAAATGTTATCAAAA